CATAGTCCAACGTTTGATCGATGCCCTGCAGTTCGGGTCAGCGCAACTGGAAAAGCATAAAATTTCATATGTTTTAGAAGGTGGGACGCTGTTAGGTTTCATCAAAGTCCGTGCCGTGCTCCCGTGGGATTCCGGAGATGTTGATACTTTTGTGTACTCAAACCGACGACGCGTTATAAATTTGGTGAAACAAATCAAACGACAACATGGCTACGAGTATTTGCTTCGTTGGAATGCGTTTCATGTGTATGTCACGCCACATTACCCAATGCACGATGGGCTAATTGTGTATGCCGTTAGCCGAGAAGACCCTGGGGAATTGGTAAACATCAGAATGCACGGTAGACTGTTCCCAGCGCCTCGATCAATGTTCAAGTTTATACGAGAGTATTATGGTTCGTCGTATTTGGAAAGTCGGATTCGTTTTGGCGACGAACGCGTGTCATGTGACTATGAAGGGTACCAAGCGTGCATGCCTGATTGCCGATGGGATGGGTGTGGTTCGGGACGCGGGCAGTTCCGCGGCATTCTTAACTGAGTTAAAATTTTATAAAAAGGTAATATTTGAAAAGAAATGAAAATAATTTTATATAAGAAACAAAGACAACCATTTTACATATTTCCATATGCCTAGTTACCACTGTTCTGATAATATAAGCATTAAAATGCAACAAAGGTAACCAAGCATTTAAGGTCTATTACTCCAAAAGCTGTTATTAGCTATCTGTTATCTATTGAGTCACATTATAAATGCATACTAGACCACTCAATATCAACCACTGTATGTTAATATTCATTGTACAAACAAATTCATACATTGATTACATTATAATATATTTAGCGCATTTTCAACATAGTTTTTACATGAAATTTAACTAAAATATAAGTCAGCTTTGCTGCTGTATTATTAACAAATGCAAAATTGTTCCAATAAAACTTATAATAAAAATTAAAAGTTTTTAAAAAGGCTTTGTCTCTGTGGCTAGCCACACCCTTGTTTAGCCAGCTGCTAGGCAGCTGGTTGTGTTTGAGTACAGTACAATACAGTACAGTACAGTACAATACTGTAAAAACGCCAACATAATTTTACTTCATATCTAACTAACTTTTTAAAATCCTTTTGTGGATTCGAAAATTGCCACATTTTTATGGAGACATCTGTGACTGTAGCCTGGCCCAGAGTTTTTTTTTAGGTTTGGTGAACGCGAAATGCGAGAAAATACAGGCGAAAACAAATACCCTCTGGCTCCAGGGTACTGTGACTGCAATTTGATAGAAATAAAATGTTTAGTATAGCATTATACACCTTTATTTTAACAGACATTACTATAATGGCTTAAAGCCTTTAGAAAGCGAATTTTAACAACAGATTATCCGCGTGTTGTCCTTCAGAACGTATCAAGGCTCAAGCTGTCTGTGAACGTTGTCTTGTCATATAAACTGCGATTCTAAACGAGCGATCTCGATCTTTTCTAAAATGTCCTTTTTCTAAGGCTCGCTGACGATGTACTCCAACGAGTTGTGTTTCATGTTGCTTCTCGCATTTCCTTTCCTGTTTTCCAGCGCTCTTCTCGTCGCTTTCTTTTTGTTTTACTTTTTTCTTGCAAGTACATATCGGCTGCCAGAATTCAACGTTACTAATTTTCAAGCCAGAACGGTATAAAGTTTCGCGACACTCCGCATCGGCCATGGAAAGAATCGCTTCGTTTGCTGTTGATGGTAAAAGCATATCTTTAAGCATTGTTAGACGTCGCTGTTCTTGTTGTTTCTTGTGTTGGTTTATCTCTGTGTGATAGAGTCTGACACTCCAGACAGTGTTTGTCTGTGGGTCGTTTATGTGCTTTTAGATTCAGACAATAAAGCTAGCAGTCGAGGGTTGTTGAGAAGGACAGGTGTTTACTACTATTCTTAGCCGGTACCTGTCATTTACGCTTAGTGGACGCTTTCCCGCGCTTTAGTTCTCCCTAAAAACAAGAGTACGATAAAGCTGTATGCCGCTATATCAGATAAGCTAGTGCACGTCGTTGAATTTTAGCGTTGTTGCACTACTTGTGTTCAATTAACAAGCGTTAACAAGAGTGAGGCAAACTCCTTAGAAAATATAAGACACTTAACTGCTGACGTTTGCTTGTATTTTTGACTGACAACTGACTGAAATATCGTACGATTTTACAAGCTGGAACAGCTTGATTGTGTTGTGAGATGGTGCCCGAAACTTCTAGCTCTGATATGATATATTCGTGCAATGGGAATGCCCTAAGAGAAAATATATCGCAAAGCCCGATGGGATTTCTCCAGCACAGTTGCATTTCTAGCATTCGGGTGATTGGGGAAATTTGGGGACAAGTCGGGATGTTAACGATTATGACCGCCGAGATAGGGGCACACGATGCGATGTAATCAATGATGATGATGACGATGTAATCAATGATGATGCGATATCGTCAGTGATGTAATCATAGACGGAGTTTTTGAAAGCGTGTCGTGAAGCACCTTTGTCTTATCGTTCAAACCATATTGAAACGTAGTAGAACAAATTATTGTGAAATGTTTAAAATCATCCAAGCATGAGTTTCAACTATTGTATTTCATGCGATGATAATATCACCCCATGGACTCCAATCACAGAATGGAGGGTAAAGCCCTAATCTTGTAAGCCTTACACAGGGTTTGAATCCACAATCTTGACATCACCAGCATGACGCCCTGCTGTTTGAACTACAAATAAGCTCATAAAGTCCCGAGGTCGTAGCCAACGGTGTAGACCCCAGGGGCCGGTTGTTCAAAGGTGGGTTAGCGCTAACCCTGGGTTAAAATTTAACCTGCTGTTTCAGTTCATGTATTTCTGCACGTCTGTTTATTTCAAAACTTCAAAAAAGAAAACTCCTATTGATCCTGACAAGATTTCTGAAGAAATATTTCCAAATTTATAGACAAGCTGTCAGGAAGTTTGCTTTGAATTTTAGGTTAACCTAGGGTTAAGCTAACCCAGCATTGAACAACTGACCCCAGCAGAAACACGTTTCGTGAGGGAAACGAAACGTGTTTCTGCTGGGGTCTACCACGTAGGCTACGAGGTCGAGGATGAGGTCAGTCACACATTGTTCCAGGGGACATTTCAAGCTCTAGATGAACAAAATAAAGGTTTAATGAGTGTTCCAACTATGTTTTAACTTCAATAGAATACACGATAGTGTTGGGAAAGCATTAAGAACAGCTAACCACGATCGTGTGACAACCTCGTACCCAGGGACTTTCCTCTTGGGGAGCAAAGACCCTGGTAGACGCTGGTCACGTGATCTGCTAAAATCTAGCAGATTTTTAATTAACAATCCAAGATCAGGTCAATAAACATTTGATATTTGGATTATTTTGATAGTTTAATTTATAATTTGCCTTTTGTATGATTGTCGTAAAGAAAACCAAGATAGTCCTGCTAGGAAAATTGCTGAAATATTTGGACACGCAGGTAACATTACTTATTTTTTTAGGTATTTGGTTGCATAAGATCAAGAATAGCAGTTTCAAATGATGGATGATTTGCACGAAAGAAATAATCCATGAATCATGATGGCCAAGGTACAATTAGCATTGATACATTTCACATGACGTACGTGGTTCCCAGAATTCTTTACCGGCTGATAATTTCAGCAAAATATACTAAACCGCTTCGGCTGAAAATGATTCGAAATCTATAGTTCAAATAGATATGTGTAGAGTATTCAGGCACACATTTTCCGGAATACCATTAGTTTTGTACGTGGTTGCCAATGGCCATGTTTTTAATGAGCGCATGCAAATTAAGGCAAACAACAAATGACTTCTAGTGCGTGCTGTGATTCTTGCGTCTGCCGTATACTTGCATATAATAGTTAGAAGATTTTACACCAGCCATCGCAATACGCGAAGTATACGCAGTATTTTAAACGTTTGTCACATATTTTCACAAGTAATTTCAAACTTGAAACTGTTGCACAGATGCGCAGATTTGAAAATATAAATCTTATCTAACTGAAGTAAATTGTTAAAAAAACTGTGGGGGTTAGTTTTACTCATATAGATAGCCGAGATAGTTTGTGTGCAAACCGCGAAAATATTTTGTGCTTTTAAAAATAGTTTTTGAAGACTTGCCCTCCCACGTGGACCCTGTACCACAAACAGATGGCGTATATCGTTGATATACCACAATCCTTTGCAATCCGCTTTTCGACTATGACACAATAAGTGCATATGGAATACACGATAATCCTGTACGTCTCAATGCTTATTGCATCAACGCCATGTCATAAGACGGATTTGCACTACACAACTTTTGCCTAAAACTGTCGCATGCAACCTGCTTACAACTTGCGTTGCATTGTGGAGCGCAGTTTCTAACACCATAGAACCATATATATTAGGTAGAACAATGCTCGCCGATAATTATAAACAACTTGTGTGCATCGTCCACGGTTCACTAGTTCATATAGTGACAGATTGTTTGTCGCGGTTTCTATTTTGAGGAAATACTTGTTAGTGTTTGGTAGCTATTCGCATTTGTTTGTTTTATAGAAATACCAAGGTTGTTTAATATTTTCAATTTTGCGATGCCTGTGATATCAGTGCTGTATAATAGTGGTAGTATATGGTAATGCCAAAGATCGAAGCTCGCCAATCGAAACTTTGTCAAACATAGAGGTTCCTTAAAAAAAAAGCGAAGAAATTTATCGCCGTGCATACAAAACTACAAGGGCATTATTCATTGGCATTTGGTTAAAATCAAAACAAAATCTCTCGTTTGTTTTACACTGGTCCCCTAGTGATACCATTGTTCTCAGCACATGTATGTTGTTTTTACTCGCGGTTTGCCAAAATTAAATTGAAATGCTAAACAACAAGACGGCTTGTTTTTCCCTTCTGAAGAATAACTGTTTGCCCAATATGCTTTAAATTATGCAAAGTTTATATAATCTGTTTAAGTTTGGCTTTATTAAAAACATGGGGTATTATTCGCAGTTCCTAAACTATTCAAATTAAAAAAGTGTGAGCTGTAAAACTTTTTTTTATTGTTTTTCACATTGGCATTCTAAGTTATCTCACCTACTTGCAAACAGGAAATATTTGAATGCCGCCGCTTTGCAATATTTCATCACGCCGGTATAGACTTGTTTTTTAATGAAAAGGATCCCTATTGCGCATGGGTGTCACGAGTCTGCGTCACACATTGTTATTGTTTTTCACGGGTAATTACGGCGCATAACCTGAAAACATTGTTGAATTGTGATGTTGTGAGTGCCACAAAGCAAGCTCTCTCGCGTCGTTTCTTATCTTGTTCGTAGAATTTGCTTATTTGATTATTCAAAATGTTGTGTTCGGAAGGTCCATCGTTACGTCTGGCGGACAGAGTGCTCGCGATGTCCGATTTGGAGAAACAGCTCGATTTCTCGTGTATTTACGAACGAAAAGCGAAGTACGAATTGGCGAGTGAGGAGACTAGTCCCGCTAAAGATTCGCCGGAATGCAAATGTCTACGTCCTCAAGAGGTTTCCAGCAAGCAAGACAGGCATCTTTGCAACGCACACAAGGATTTCTTTCCAAGTTTAGAAGCGATTGACGAAGAACAAGAGGGGAATGTTGCATCGGTAGCCGAGCTAGGCATGAAGTACGATCTAACTCTGCCGGACAGACATTATAGTCAAGCGAAGAACATGGGTTACTTACAACATCGCAAAGGAAGGCATTATCGACGCAAAGTGTTCGCTAAAGATAACGACTTCCCGCGCAGGGAACGATCTATTACGTTTTAGGGACAGTGTGTCAATTGTAAGATGATAGAAACTGTCGCACTATTTGCCCTTGATACCATTTTATCAGTTGTGCTCTGACAGCAACGTTGTATAACTCAAGCTTGTATGTTGGTCTTAGGATATTACCACTTTAGGAACACTTTTACATTTTATTTGCAACTCGTTTGCCCTAGATAGCTCTATATTGAACCGTCGCGCCATTGATCTCGGGAACATTTACGAATTACTTTTTGGTAGGAACAACCAGTTAGAGTTTAGGGAGAGTTGAATATTAAAAAAGGGAAAATGTGGCGCGATTATTTACCGTTAGTACGCTGATTATACTGACAGCGAACGATGATAGAATCTTGTGAAAAGATTTATTGATATACAAAACAGTAGAGATGAAAATTCATCTATTGGTGAACCGCATGTTTATTTACGATTATTGTTAACATTGAGATTCGAAGAAAGGAAATATCGAAGCAAAATTAAGGGATTTTTGTGTAAACACATTGCTGCGAACTGCAAAGAATTCGTGGTGTCGTACAGTACAAATATCGAGACGTGACGAACTTGGCGGGTTTACGCGGGGAACAGCGATGGCAGACTTGAAAGAATACCGCATCACAGCACGAGATAATAGATTACAAATAGTTGAAAGCTGCTCACAGGAAAGCAACGTTTGATCAAATTTGACCTTACTGCGAGAGGATTGTTTTTGCAACGACTATTTTGTGAAGACTGAATTCTTGGCTATCTAGATCCGCGCATTTTGACTTCGCGCCAACCAACGCAATTCCCGCCAACACACATTATTTTTTTTCAAAACATCTGCTGCAGTTTAACATATTTTCTAGTATCTTCATTCTATTGTGGATTGATTGGAGAACAAGGGAAAAAATATGTTTGAAATAATTGCACTGTAAAGGTCACAAAGATAGCAAGATTATCAGAATCGAGTATCAGAAAACATTGATCAATTTCATGCACATTGTTTTTCTCGTTCACTCGCGTTGATTGAACTGGTATATTAAAATGAATTTGCAACTCATCGTCTTATAAGCTCCATGTCACTTTGAGTCAAATGATGGCTTAGTGATGCGTTTCCATGTAAACATCATTTAAGAATGCAAATCCACACAGCTTCGAGTCTTTGTGTGAGTGTGTCCATTATTGATGCCTATGAACACTTGAATATAGTTTCGAAAGATTCACAGCTAGTGAATTTCATTGGAAGAACTCCAAATTGTCATGTTTGAGTTGCAATATTAATTTCAGATCGATCTAATTAGGACTTGACTTTCATCATAATTGCGTGATATTACTTCCAGATTTTAATAATAGTCATTTCAATTGCATGTGCTCTTCGGACGTGACGTTCATAACAAGTTGTTTTTAACAAAAACTATCCCGCTGACTGCCGCCGTGCAAACGTAAATAATGAATAATTGACGAGATTTACTTGTGAATGTTTACGATAGAAAACTTGTTGACGAGATTTTAAAAATCTGAAATAAAACAGCTTTGGAAAACCGTAAAATTTGCAAAAGAATAGTGTTTTCAAAAACCCGTATAGTTTGCAGGCTTTTTTCGCAATTCTTGTCCCCAGGGTTTCTCGGCTTACTGGGCGGGTATTCACCTAACCTGCGAACGGGCATACTCTGGGTTCTAGATAGCAAAAATATTGCAAGTATTGTAAATAGTTAGATCTTTATGTCTTGTTTAAAGGCACACGATCACCTGTAAGCGATGTTATTTAATGGTTCAAATCCGAAAACCTTGCCCATGTAACAACGCTCAAAGAGTGACTGTTTGCCTGGAAATTAATTGATTGATATTTTATAGTGTAAATAGATTTGCTAGATTTATTTAATGATCCAAAAATACCATGGATCGTGTGTGTATGTACATAGAAAGGGATTAAAGGTGTTTTTAAACTCTTTATGGAAACTTTGTTTTCTCTGTCATCTTCGTCGATTCCCACCGTGGTCAGGCATATTTTTCAAGCTTGCCCGGTGTAGATATACACTCAGAGTAACATCACAAGCATCATATTAGTCATATTCACCTGAGTACACTACACCAACACAGAAAAAATCATGATTACTAGATTACATTGATATCGAAAGAACTAGATTCTGTTCCGAAATATCACTTACTCGAACCGACCAGACCGCGTAGCTCAGTTGGCAGAGCATTGGGCTAGTATTCCAAAGGTCGTAGGTTCGATTCCCACCGTGGCCAGGCATATTTTTCAAGCTTGCCCGGTGGGGATATACACTCAGGGTAACATCACAAGCATCATATTCACCTGAGTACATTACACAAACACAGAAAAAATGAAGAAAACGAAGTCGAGTAAAAGACACTTCTATGTAAGCACCTCGACTACTGCGTTGTACCAGCAAATGACAAAACATAAGATTTTTGCTTCCTTGCACGAGCGCTATGTATGATGCAAAATGGAGGAAAAATTAGTTATACCATATAGTTATACTCTTATACTATATATATTTCGGGTGACGTCCGTTTTGGCAAAAACGTCTAAAGCTCTCTATTATGTGTCTTTTTCGGTAAACACTGAGTATTCTAATAAAATACAATACAATGGTGGAAACCTCCGAAGAAATTCATATTTTTAATTCAACGTTTCGACTACTGTTGAGTCATCATCAGGAATTATGAGAGCATATTATGTGTCTAATATGTGTCTTTTCCTCTTAATGAATAAAGGTAAACAACTTTTCTATTTTTGGCAAAATTCCATTCCTGTCTAGTTTTTCACATCTTTCATCAGCACCTCTGAGCAATTTCCGTTTTACATTCAAGAACTTTGTACTGAGAATTGCTTTCCTGGACGTTTCAAAACAGAGCCGTACACACAACATATATATATTGGAAAGAGACTATCCATGCATTGACCATATTTATGCCAGGAAAACGTTTGGCAAAATAGATTGTGTAGCGACTGTCCCTGCAGTCCCTACGACGGTGTGATTTGTTAAGTTGAAACCAAGTCATTGATTATTCCCAAGTCATCATGCCCCAGTGCGAATTCTGGCTTTCTGACGTAAATGGTGTACGAAAACCTGATTAAAAAACTTCAAACATATCTCTCGGGCGGCATGGAGATCCGCGGAACTTGCATTCATCTCATTCTGATCCAATCGTTCTATAAATATCCCAGCACGAACTCTATGTTGTTCGACTGTGAATATTGTACTATTGTACTTCGAGAAACTCGTGGCTTAAAGTTGAAGTCCTTTCTCGTGTTTTCAAAACGACGAATCAACTTTAAAGTTGATCCAGTGTTACTACAGGAGCTGACTCGTCCCCAGTCGTACAGGAGGAAACCTAAACTAAACTAACTTTTTTTATACTGGATAGCTCTACCAGTTCTAAACTGTTCTTCCTAGAGGTCCAGTAAGGATCATCTCTTATTGATCCAGTGTTACTACAGGAGGAAACCTAAACTAAACTAATTTTATTTATACTGGATAGCTCTACCAGTTCTAAACTGTTCTTCCTAGAGGTCCAGTAAGGATCATCTCTTATTGATTCAGTGTTACTACAGGAGGAAACCTAAACTAAACTAACTTTATTTATACTGGATAGCTCTATCAGTTCTAAACTGTTCTTCCTAGAGGTCCAGTAAGGATCATCTCTTATTGATTCAGTGTTACTACAGGAGGAAACCTAAACTAAACTAACTTTATTTATGCTGGATAGCTCTATCAGTTCTAAACTGTTCTTCCTAGAGGTCCAGTAA